AGCAATCTCTAGACGGAAGCTATACATGCTCACTTTCCAGAGTACCGTTAGAAACCAACTTTTCTATTCCAAAGCCATAATTACTGTCGTTAAGAGAAGATACTTCTTGAATCTTTGTTGTTCATACAAAATTCATTTTATCCCAACTTCCAAATCTTCATCATCGAAATCTGTACAACTATTATCTTCCAAGTCAATCACTGGATTGTCTGGTTCAGGCTGGCTATTTACAATAATATTGCTGGAATATTTCTGGAGTGCCGCGTGAAACAAGAAACACAACGAACAAAACCACACTTTCCCTAGTGTTTTTAGGTGTAAAGTGTCTAGAATGTCCGTATGGAGGGCAAAGATAACGCTCACCTTTCAGAGAACACCTGGTATCATGACTATTTGATTGTGATTCTGTCATGCCCTGAATTCTCGAGGAAACTCTTTTTTATAGTCCGCCACCATATAACAGTAATATTGCTGAATTGATAGTGTTTTTAGGTGAAAGGTGTCTAGAATGTCCATATGGAGGGCAAGGAAAACGCTCACGTATCAGAGAACACCTGGTATCATGACTATTTGATTGTGATTCTGTCATTCACTGAATTCTCGTGGAAACACTTTTTATAGTCCGCCACCATATAACAGTAATATTGCTGAATTGCTAGTGTTTTTAGGTGAAAAGTTTCTAGAATGTCCATATGGACGGCAGCGATAACGCTCACCTATCAGAGAACACGTGGTATCATGACTATTTGATTGTGACTCTGTCATTCACTGTGTGAATTCGCGAGGAAACTCTTTTTATAGTCCACCACCATATAACAGTAATATTGCTGAATTGCTAGATTTTAGATGAAAAGTGTCTAGAATGTCCATATGCACGGCAAGGGTAACGCTCACCTATCAGAGAACACCTGGTATCATGACTATTTGATTGTGATTCTGTCATACTATGTGAATTCTTGAGGAAACTCTTTTTATTGTCCGCCACCATATAACAGTAATATTGCTGAATTGATAGTGTGTTTAGGTGTAAGTGTCTAGAATGTCCGTATGGAGGGCAAAGATAACGCTCACCTTTCAGAGAACACCTGGTATCATGACTATTTGATTGTGATTCTGTCATGCCCTGAATTCTCGAGGAAACTCTTTTTTATAGTCCGCCACCATATAACAGTAATATTGCTGAATGCGGCATGGAACAAACAAACACATGCTCATTATATAGTCGCAAATTTTACAATCGACGCTGCTTTTCTCAGCTATTTCTTATGGATATGGAACTTGTTTTGTCGCCATTTCATCTGGTTCATTTGCATGGGCGATTGTTTTTTAATTCCAAAGACTTAAGCATTGGTAGTATTCAAGGCACTAAATAATAATGCATTGAAAAATGTTCATTCGTACATCTAAAGTGAGATTGTTTTTAAATGGGAATGTTTTTATTGAAGATTGGGTTACTTCTATTTGGGCTTCATCTAATTTAACAATGTATTATTATTATTTATTATTCCGCCGGATTTTGTACCACTCCTACAAAGAGCACCGCTGGACAGAAACTGTCGAAAAAATTCATGTGGATGCGCATCAACATGAACTGGTGCATATCAAAATCCAGCTTACTAGGCCCCATAGCAAAGGGCAGATAATTCAAAATTAATTAAAAAATTCAATTTCAGTAGCAAATATCTGCAAAACTACTCATCCAATGACTACCAAAATGTCTTGAGCAGATGCGCAATCAAAATGTCTGCAATTTCGCCTGGACGGGTCGAGTCGCTAAAATGCACCGTTTGTCCGCTATTTTGGATTGAAATTTTTGGTGATGTTTTTCAGCAAAATCATGACTGCTTTTCTCCCAAAATCTGCTGCACCGAAACTACAAGAACTACGGCTTTCAAACTTTGCATACTTTGTGTCTATGCAAGTCCCTACACAGCGGCATCGTCAAATGTGGCTATGTGGATATGATGGCCGCCATATTGGATGCTACTTCTGGGGAAAACTTGTCTTCAAAAACTTCTACAGGCTTCTTTGCGACTTTGTGGCAAACCAAACTTACCAGATACAACATTTTGAACGCTTGTTCTGAAATGGCCTTTGGTTGCTGAACAATTTCTGTTCATGGTCATATGACAAAAGTCACGTGATGCGGCGGCCATATTGGATTGACGATGTTTAAAGGAAATGTGCAGTTTTTGTGGGGTAGGCATTTTTCGCAATCCATAACTTTAAATGTATTAGCTGCAGAATGCTGCAAATTTGTAGGTAAAGATTATATACCTCAAGTATGTATAATCTCGAGCTATGTTGCGATACCTTGATTAGTTACGGATGCCTAGATGTTTGCTTCTGTTGTTTATTTTGTACTAAAATGTATTTTCAAAAAATCGCAGCGTCATAACTATTTCAACTATGCAGCTAGAATCTGGCAGTACGTAGTAACTAAGTGTGTTAAACATTTTTTGTTCTTGGGTGCATGTCAAAATGTGCATTGCTTGGCGGCCATATTGGATTTCGTCAGATTCTGATGATACTACATTCTAAACAGCATAGCTGCTCCAGTTCTGCACAGAAGGCCGTAAAACTTGGCAGTATGCATCAACGGAAGATGCTTAACATTTCGTGTTCTTACATGCATATCAAAAGTTTGATCGTTTGTCGGCCATATGGCATTGAAAATTGCACAAATGCAGGGAAAAGGAAAAAAACTGTTTGAGACGTGCCCCAAATGAAAGAAAAAAAGAGTACCAAACAAACTCACCCACAACTCCAGGCTGAACACGCTAAATATGACGCAAACAGACTTTCAACAACGTACCAGTCATCAGAAATGATGCTTACATTCAAAACCCAAAGTTTGGGCAGATTTAACGAAATAGGGACTTCTTTATATCACCGACGGCCCAGGGATACATTGCCGAATGTCTCATAAGTTTCATCGACATTTTACGGCAGGAGCACGGCAGATTACCCGTGCAAAGCATGCGACAGTCTGAAGGAAGGCGCAAGGACGATATCTCCTATAGAGAGACTACCACTGCAAAGCGTGGTCCACGTGCAGATATGGGAGACGATGTCAATTTCAATTGACAATGACGAGAGCTGAGCTAGCGCTACACAAAGTTAAAATACACTGCAGTAGAGGTGATTTTAGCTGGAAATTGTATCTACACTCGCCCGAAAATAAACACCATTAACTAAAACCTTTACTGCTTTCGACATCAGGTACCAAATGTGTAGAAGTTATCCAAGCCAAGGAGCCGTCAATTGTTGCTCGCCAGAAATCACAGCATGATGAAATGTGTTGGACGTACGACATGTGAAAGCTTAGTGTAGTTGGCAATAAAGCTTATTCATTCTGGTGAGAACTGTATCAAATGGTATATTTGAACGAACTTCTGAAAAATACGTGTTGGGCCAGCAATTTCTCGTGGCTGCTCTTGGGAAATCCTGGGGACTATTCCGTCGTGAGCTTCAGGTCAAAGCAAATGTGAATCTTCAAAACAAAAAATCCCACGCCGGAAGAGGCAAAAGCATGGAATCGTAGAAAATGAAGGTCAGACCAAACAATTCCGATAGCAGTCCGGACCGATGAGATGATTTGTGAGTCTATGTTGAGAATGTCGAAAAGATCTTCGCTTGAAGCAACGTGTTTGTTTAAAATACTTTGATTTGAGACTTTATAAAGTGGCTTTTAGGTCGATATACTAAATTAGGAAGTACGAATGCAGAAAAGAAGGCTTCACTTTGAGCAACGTGTTTGCTTAAAAATACTACGCTTTGAAACTGTATACAGTGGTATTTAGGTCGATGTAATACCATTCGGTAGATATAAACAGAATTCAGGATGCATCTGTGAGGTTTAAGTATTTAAGTAATTAAGTTTTTGATAGCCCGAGGCAAGTCGGACCGAAGCAGTGTGACGGAGATAATGTTGAGAGTGTGGGGATCAGATCGTATCTTTCTCTCATGGGCAGGCTTTAAATACGATGAACAGTGACCTTCAGCAGTGGAATTTGTTTGGATATAGATGTAAAGGCTTACAGAAATGTGTATCAACAATTATTCTTTTACACGCGTAACCTTGCTCAGCCACGTTCACAGGCCGCTAGAGTTTGAAGCGATTTACTCGCAGTAAGGTTAATATGGCACACGTTTGTAGCTTCCGAATGTTCAATATTATCATGAATGTATATTGTTACAATGTAAAGTTGGCCTAATATTACATAAGAGCGCAGCCACGCACAACCATTAACTTACACGCTGTCAGATACGCAATCACTACCAAGATCAACACATTACTGGCAAACAAGGATAAGGTGGACCAGCGGAGAGAACGCGTTTACGAGAAGTTGGTAGAATTACATTGAGGGACTGAGTTGTAATCACTTTGGTTCTATTCAGTTGACAATATTACATTGAGGGGCTGAGTAATAATCTTTTTTTGTCCAGAGACAATTATTAGAATATCGGTGAGTGACGCTTATGACAACAGACAGACAGCTTTGTGTTAGTCATTGGGTCTCACCGTGTAATGTGGACGGGTAATTTGCCAACACGCAGCCAACATGAAGATGTGTAATATGGTTTCGTCAGGACTTGTCTGTTCCGACTAGTGTCCATCCGTGTATAAAACAGGTAAACTGATTACAGTGACATATGACCTTTCCTTTATACACAAAACAAAGAGAAAAAGCATAGTTTGTATAATTGTTGTATTTCAAGCAAAAACAGGTGTCCCAAAAGTCATAACAACAAACAGCACACAGATGGATTATTCATACAAGCTATATACATTTTATTGGGGAATCACTCTTAGGATATCACAAGCGGGATGACTAGTGTTACCAGATGACTAGTGTTACCAGATGACTAGTGTTACCAAATGACTAGTGTTACCAGATGACTAGAGTTACCAGATGACTAGTGTTACCAGATGACTAGTGTTACCAGATGACTAGTGTTACCAGATAACTAGTTTAGTGTCAGATGACTAGTGTGACCAAATGACTAGCGTTATCAGATGATAGTGTTACCAGATGACTAGTGTTACCAGATGACTAGTGTTACCAGATGACTAGTGTTATGACCAGATGACTACTTGTAAGTTACCAGATGACTAGTGTTACCAGATGACTAGTGTTACCAGATGACTAGTGTTACCAGATGACTGACCAGTTACCAGATGACTAGTGTTACCAGATGACTAGTGTTACCAGATGACTAGTGTTACCAGATGACTAGTGTTACCAGATGACTAGTGTTACCAGATGACTAGTGTTACCAGATGACTACAGGTGACTAGTGTTACCAGATGACTACCAGATGACTACCAGATACCAGATGACTGACTAGTGTTACCAGATGATGACTAGTGATTCCATGATGACTACCAGATGACTAGTGACTACTAGTGTTACCAGATGACTAGTGTAGTGATACCAGATGACTACTACCAGATGACTAGTGTTACCAGATGACTAAGTGTTACCAGATGACTAGTGTTACAGATGACTAGTGTTACCAGATGACTAGTGTTACCAGATGGTGTTACCAGATGACTAGTGTTACCAGATGACTAGTGTTACCAGATGACTATGTTACCAGATGACTACCACTGTTACCAGATGACTAGTGTTACCTGATACCAGTGACTATGATACCAGATGACTAGTGTTACCAGATGACTAGTGTTACCAGATGACTAGTGTTACCAGATGACTACATGACTAGTGTTACCAGATGACTAGTGTTACCAAGAGATGAGTGTTGTGATACCAGATGACTAGTAGTTACCAGATGACTAGTGTTACCAGATGACTAGTGTTACCAGATGACTAGTGTTACCAGATGACTAGTGTTACCAGATGACTAGTGTTACCAGATGACTAGTGTTACCAGATGACTAGTGTTACCAGATGACTTGTGTTACCAGATGACTAGTGTTGACTAGTGTTACTAGATGACTAGTGTTACCAGATGACTAGTGTTACCAGATGACTAGTGTTACCAGATGACATAGTGTTACAGATGACTACCAGATGACTACAGACTACTAGTTACCAGATGACTAGTGTTACCAGATGAGATAGTGTTACCAGATGACTAGTGTTACCAGATGACTACCAGATGAATAATGTTACCAGATGACTAGTGTTACCAGATGACTAGACTGTTACCAGAGATGACTAGTGTTGTCAGATGACTAGTGTTACCAGATGACTACTATAGATGAATAGTGTTACCAGACGACTAGCGTTACCAGATTACTACTACTACGTTACCAGATTACTACTACTACAGGATGACTACAGATGACTTGTGTCGCCAGATGACTACAAATGAGTAGTGGTACCAGATGGCCAGTATCAGCAGATTACAACGGTTGATTGGTGTTACCAGATGATTAGTACTAGTGTTACCGGGTGACTAATGTTATCAAAATTCAAGATCAAACATTGAACAAATTACAGAACGTAATAACAAAGACAATAACGTAGTTAATATAAAGCGAAATTGCAAACAACAAATTTATATAGGCGAAAAGCCAAACAGAAGAATTAATGATAATGACTTTGTGGCCTTTAATATATGTGTATGTGAATGAAATTAATATCATAATGTTAATATCATGCAACAATAATACCCCATTATGGATAGGAGCATAGCAGCTCTATACAACATTATCAATCGGCGTAATTCGACCAGTTTCATTTGCCGCTCCTGGAAAATATACACATCAAACTACCTTTGAGGTGCTTGAATGTGAGAAGCTGCATTATCATCTCATCCTAACGGGTACCCATTCAGTGCTGGGTGAGATAGGCTTAAACAATGTCACCTGGCTAAAGTGACTCCACGTGTTACAATGCGGAAGATCGATTCCCAAGCTGTTGAACAGGGTCACCCATCAGCCTTCTCTTCACGGGCTATGTGGAACTTCACCTGAGCATGCGTGTGAATTCTGCCAGTGTTTCAGTGGCTTGGTATGGCACGAAATCATACGATAGAGTGGCTCAAAGGTCAAACAATATTCTCCAAGTTAGCTACGGCAGGCGAGCCTCGTGTGTGTTTCCAGGAGATGTAGTTTAGCAATATTGTGCAGCTAACATGTTTTTCACAAGATTAATGGATAGCATACAGCATCAGGGAGAGGACATAGGGATTAAAGTGACGACATTAGGCATCCAGGGCATTCAGAACAGAAGAAGTACATTGTGGATCTTGGATTCACGGGCACTATGAAACAATGGGAGACGATAGGGAAAAAACACGGGCGAGAAGGCACTGGGTGTTACCGGAGGACACTATGGTTCAAGGGAAGAAATATGCATTTAGGGGGACTTAGGGTTTACAAGGAAGATATGATGGCTCGGGAAAGAGCGGGCGCAGTGATACAGGTCGGGTTGAAAATGGAGCGAAACTAACAGCTGTCACTGCAGCTGTCTGTTGAACTTGGTCCTAACTCTTGTAGTTGGAGTACATGGAGTAGTCGGTGTCGCCACCTCTCATGAGTTTGTTGTAGGATTTCTCCAGTTCCTTGAACTTCGGTCTCTGCTTTGGTTCATGTTCCCAGCACCTCTGCATCATATCGTAGTTCCTGCAAGAAGACACCATCATGTCAGACATGAGGACCCAAGGACTAGCAAGTATGTCCACGTTACCACACGTGTATCTTGTCAAGATGTACATGTATTTCGTTACGACACGTGCATCTTGTCAAGATGTACATGTATTTCGTTACCACACGTGTATCTTGGCAAGATGTACATGTATTTCGTTACCACACGTGTATCTTGCCAAGATGTACATGTATTTCGTTACCACTCGTGTATCTTGGCAAGATGTACATGTATTTCGTTACCACAAGTGGATCTTGGCCAGATGTACCTGTATTTCGTTACCACACGTGTATCTTGTCAAGATGTTCATGTATTTCGTTACCACACGTGTATCTTGGCAAGATGTACATGTATTTCGTTACCACACGTGTATCGTTACCAAGATGTACATGTATTTCGTTACCACACGTGTATCTTGGCAAGATGTACATGTATTTCGTTACCACACGTGTATCTTGTCAAGATGTTCATGTATGTACATGTATTTCGTTACCACACGTGTATCTTGTCAAGATGTACATGTATTTCGTTACCACACGTGTATCTTGGCAAGATGTACATGTATTTCGTTACATGTACACGTGTGTCTTGGCAAATATACCAAGATACACACATATTTCGTTACAACACGTGTATCTAGGCAGGATGTACACGTATTTCGTTACAACACGTGTCTCTTGACAAGATGTACACGTATTTCGTTACAACATGTGTCTCTAGGACAAGATGTACACGTATTTCGTAACGTGTATACATTTACATTTCGTTAGTACATACAGTACACCCTCCACTCCTGACACAGTACATACAGTACACCCTCCACCTCCTGACACAGTACATACAGTACACCTCCACCTCCTGACACAGTACATACAGTACAGTACACCCTCCACCTCCTGACACAGTACATACAGTACACCCTCCACCTCCTGACACAGTACATACAGTACACCCTCCACCTCCTGACACAGTACATACAGTACACCCCCTCCACCTCCTGACACAGTACATACAGTACACCCCTCCACACAGTACCTGACACAGTACATACAGTACACCCTCCACCTCCTGACACAGTACATACAGTACACCCTCCACCTCCTGACACAGTACATACAGTACATCCTCCACCTCCTGACACAGTACATACAGTACACCCTCCACCTCCTGACACAGTACATACAGTACACCCTCCACCACCTGACACAGTACATACAGTACACCCTCCACCTCCTGACACAGTACATACAGTACACCCTCCACCTCCTGACACAGTACATACAGTACACCCTCCACCACCTGACACAGTACATACAGTACACCCTCCACCTCCTGACACAGTACATACAGTACACCCTCCACCTGACACCTGACATACAGTACATACAGTACATACTCCCTACACAGTACCCACCACCTGACACAGTACATACAGTACACCCTCCACCACCTGACACAGTACATACAGTACACTCCTCCACTACACCACCTGACACAGTACATACAGTACACCCTCCACCTCCTGACACAGTACATACAGTACAGTACATACCACCTCTCCTGACACAGTACATACAGTACACCCACCACCTCCTGACACAGTACATACAGTACACCCTCCACCACCTGACACAGTACATACAGTACACCTCCACCACCTGACACAGTACATACAGTACACCCTCCACCTCCTGACACAGTACATACAGTACACCCTCCACCACCTGACACAGTACATACAGTACACCCTCCACATCTGACTGACATACAGTACATACAGTACACCCTCCACCTCCTGACACAGTACATACAGTACACCCTCCACCTCCTGACACAGTACATACAGTACACCCTCCACCTCCTGACACAGTACATACAGTACACCCTCCACCTCCTGACACAGTACATACAGTACACCCTCCACCTCCTGACACAGTACATACAGTACACCCTCCACCTCCTGACACAGTACATACAGTACACCCTCCACCACCTGACACAGTACATACAGTACACCCTCCACCTCCTGACACCATCAGTACACCTCCACCTCCTGACACAGTACATACAGTACACCTCCACCTCCTGACACAGTACATACAGTACACCCTCCACCTCCTGACACAGTACATACAGTACACCCTCCACCACCCTGACAGTAGTACATACAGTACACCTCCACCTCCTGACACAGTACATACAGTACACCCCCACCACCTGACACAGTACATACAGTACAGTACACCCTCCACCTCCTGACACAGTACATACAGTACACCCTCCACCTCCTGACACAGTACATACAGTACACCCTCCACCACCTCCTGACACAGTACATACAGTACACAGTACCCTCCACCACCCTGACACAGTACATACAGTACACCCTCCACTCCTGACACAGTACATACAGTACATACCAGTACATACAGTACACCTCCACCTCCTGACACAGTACATACAGTACACTCCTCCACCTGACCTGACACAGTACATACAGTACACCCCCCACCTGACCTGACACAGTACATACAGTACCCTCCTCCACCTCCTGACACAGTACATACAGTACACCCTCCACCTCCTGACACAGTACATACAGTACACCCTCCACCTCCTGACACAGTACATACAGTACACCTCCACCACCTGACACAGTACTGACACTCCACCTCCTGACACATACAGTACACCCTCCACCTCCTGACACAGTACATACAGTACTCCTGACACTCCTCCACCTCCTGACACAGTACATACAGTACACCCTCCACCTCCTGACACAGTACATACAGTACACCCTCCACCTCCTGACACAGTACATACAGTACACCCTCCACCTCCTGACACAGTACATACAGTACACCCTCCACCTCCTGACACAGTACATACAGTACACCCCCACCTCCTGACACAGTACATACAGTACACCCTGACACAGTACATACAGTACACCCTCCACCTCCTGACACAGTACATACAGTACACCCTCCACCTCCTGACACAGTACATACAGTACATACTCCTCCACCTCCTGACACAGTACATACAGTACACCCTCCACCTCCTGACACAGTACATACAGTACACCCTCCACCACCTGACACAGTAGTACATACAGTACACACCTCTCCACCTCCTGACACAGTACATACAGTACACCCTCCACCTCCTGACACAGTACATACAGTACACCCTCCACCACCTGACACAGTACATACAGTACACCCTCCACCTCCTGACACAGTACATACAGTACACCCTCCTCCACCTGACACAGTACATACAGTACACCCTCCACCTCCTGACACAGTACATACAGTACACCTCCACCTCCTGACACAGTACATACAGTACACCCTCCACCTCCTGACACAGTACATACAGTACACCCTCCACCTCCTGACACAGTACATACAGTACACCCACCACCTCCTGACACAGTACATACAGTACACCCTCCACCTCCTGACACACATACATACAGTACACAGTACCAGTCCACCCACCTGACACAGTACATACAGTACACCCTCCACCTCCTGACACAGTACATACAGTACACCCTCCACCTCCTGACACAGTACATACAGTACACCCTCCACCTCCTGACACAGTACATACAGTACACCCTCCACCTCCTGACACAGTACATACAGTACACCCTCCACCTCCTGACACAGTACATACAGTACACCCTCCACCTCCTGACACAGTACATACAGTACACCCTCCACCTCCTGACACAGTACATACAGTACACCCTCCACCTCCTGACACAGTACATACAGTACACCCACCACCTCCTGACACAGTACATACAGTACACCCTCCACCTCCTGACACAGTACATACAGTACACCCTCCACCTCCTGACACAGTACATACAGTACACCCTCCACCTCCTGACACAGTACATACAGTACACCCTCCACCTCCTGACACAGTACATACAGTACACCCTCCACCTCCCTGACACAGTACATACAGTACACCCTCCACCTCCTGACACAGTACATACAGTACACCCTACACCTCCTGACACAGTACATACAGTACACCCTCCACCTCCTGACACAGTACATACAGTACACCCTCCACCTCCTGACACAGTACATACAGTACACCCTCCACCTCCTGACACAGTACATACAGTACACCCTCCACCACCTCCTGACACAGTACATACAGTACACCCTCCACCTCCTGACACAGTACATACAGTACACCCTCCACCTCCTGACACAGTACATACAGTACACCCTCCACCTCCTGACACAGTACATACAGTACACCCTCCACCTCCTGACACAGTACATACAGTACACCCACCACCTCCTGACACAGTACATACAGTACACCCTCCACCTCCTGACACAGTACATACAGTACACCCTCCACCTCCTGACACAGTACATACAGTACACCCTCCACCTCCTGACACAGTACATACAGTACACCCTCCACCTCCTGACACAGTACATACAGTACACCCTCCACCTCCTGACACAGTACATACAGTACACCTCCACCTCCTGACACAGTACATACAGTACACCCTCCACCACCTGACACAGTACATACAGTACACCCTCCACCTCCTGACACAGTACATACAGTACACCCTCCACCTCCTGACACAGTACATACAGTACACCCTCCACCTCCTGACACAGTACATACAGTACACCTCCACCTCCTGACACAGTACATACAGTACACCCTCCACCTCCTGACACAGTACATACAGTACACACCCACCACCTGACCTGTACACAGTACATACAGTACACAGTACACCTCCTGACCTCCTGACACATACATACAGTACACCTCCACCTCCTGACACAGTACATACAGTACACCCTCCACCTCCTGACACAGTACATACAGTACACCCTCCACCTCCTGACACAGTACATACAGTACACCCTCCACCTCCTGACACAGTACATACAGTACACCCTCCACCTCCTGACACAGTACATACAGTACACCCTCCACCTCCTGACACAGTACATACAGTACACCCTCCACCACCTGACACAGTACATACAGTACACCCTCCACCTCCTGACACAGTACATACAGTACACCCCTCCCTGACCTGATACAGTACAGTACATACAGTACACCCTCCACCTCCTGACACAGTACATACAGTACACCCTCCACCTCCTGACACAGTACATACAGTACACCCTCCACCTCCTGACACAGTACATACAGTACACCCTCCACCTCCTGACACAGTACACACACAGTACACCCTACACCTGTACACAGTACACACCCTCCACCTCCTGACACAGTACATACAGTACACCCTCCACCACCTGACACAGTACATACAGTACACCCTCCACCACCTGACACAGTACATACAGTACACCCTCCACCTCCTGACACAGTACATACAGTACACCCTCCACCTCCTGACACAGTACATACAGTACACCCTCCACCACCTGACACAGTACATACAGTACACCCTCCACCTCCTGACACAGTACATACAGTACACCCTCCACCTCCTGACACAGTACATACAGTACACCCTCCACCTCCTGACACAGTACATACAGTACCTCCTGACAGTACATACAGTACACCTCCACCTCCTGACACAGTACATACAGTACACCCTCCACCTCCTGACACAGTACATACAGTACACCTCCACCTCCTGACACAGTACATACAGTACACCCTCCACCTCCTGACACAGTACATACAGTACACCCTCCACCTCCTGACACAGTACATACAGTACACCCCTCCACACCTGACACCTGACAGTACACCCTCCACCTCCTGACACAGTACATACAGTACACCCTCCACCTCCTGACACAGTACATACAGTACACCCTCCACCTCCTGACACAGTACATACAGTACACCCTCCACCTCCTGACACAGTACATACAGTACACCCTCCACCTCCTGACACAGTACATACAGTACACCCTCCACCTCCTGACACAGTACATACAGTACACCCTCCACCTCCTGACACTGTACATCTCTGGTTGACTTGAAGCACTCAGGGGCCATCCATCGGACTGGAATACGCTCCTGGAACAGACAATCAATCAGACTTAGAGCATCCTGATCTGTGAGACCTTTCCCTCTGTACACCCCTGTGACATGTTCTTCACTTACCATCCTGTTTACGCCCAACAAACTGTCCCTTTCCCACGCCCATTACGACTCCCTTCTCACACAGTCCTCCAAAAGCATTTGAAAAACGCTTTCCTAATAGAATCACATAAACATTTCTTACCAATTGTTTATACGAATATATCGCACATTCCTTTCTACTTACATCCCACAAACACCCTTCCACCACTCCACAGCTCACTGCAACATTATCTTCTTACTTACATCCCACAAACCTCTCCACCACAATGCTTTACTTAACCCAACAATTCACTACAACACATTCTTCTTACTTCCATCACAAAAGACCCTCCACTACAATGCTTTACTTAACCCAACAATTCACAGTAACACATTCTTCTTACTTCCATCACAGAAAACCCTCTACCACAATGCTTTACTTAACCCAACAATTTTCTGCAAAACATTCTTCTTACTTCCAGCACACAAAACCCTCTACCACAATGCTTCACTTAACCCAACAATTCACTACAACACATTCTTCTTACTTCCATCACAAAAGACCCTCCACTACAATGCTTTACTTAACCCAACAATTCACAGTAACACATTCTTCTTACTTCCATCACACAAAACCCTCTACCACAATGCTTTACTTAACCCAACAATTTTCTGCAAAACATTCTTCTTACTTCCAGCACACAAAACCCTCTGCCGCAATGCTTTACTTAACCCAACAATTCACTGCAACTCATTCTTATTACTTCCATAAAAAAAACCTCCACCACAATGCTTTACTTACACCCAACAATCCACTGTAACACATTCTTCTTACATCCATCACACAAAACCCTCTACCACAATGCTTTACTTAACCCAACAATTCTCTGCAACACCATACTTTACTTAACCCAACAATTCACTGCAACACATTCTTCTTACTTCCATCACACAAAACCCTCTACCACAATGCTTTACTTAACCCAACAATTCACTGTAACACATTCTTCTTACTTCCATCACACAAAACCATCCACCACAATGCTTTATTTAACCCAACAATTCACTGTAACACATTCTTCTTACTTTCATCCCACAAAACCCTCCACTACAATGCTTTACTTACACCCAACAATTCACAGTAACACATTCTTCTTACTTCCAGCACACAAAACCCTCCACCACAATGCGTTATTTAACCCAACAATTCCCTGCAACACATTCTTCCTACGTACATCCCACAAACCACTCCACCATCTTCCCAAACATGTCGCATAAATGCTTGCGAAATATACACATTGAAAATTTAAGAGTATCGGAGCACCTGTGATATTTAACCCCCATATAGCCATTTATATTAATAACATAAATGTATTTGCATTTGTTTTGACCCTTAATTAATATTTCAATTACCCACGTGCTATGATCAACGGCGAGCATCACGTGCAATACATGTTCCATTATTGAACAAAAACCGAGTGTTTAAAAGTAATCTGTCTTCTTACTACTGTTGATAAGCAAATATGCGGCCTCAAGTTATTGGCGGGTTGCTATCATGCCATTGGTGGTTGTTGCAATAGGTGTTGATTGGCACCCATCGACTATCAGCCGACTGGCCTGAAGAGGTTAACAACCCTCTACGTTAAGGACCGCCAGTGTTCAGGTCGACCACGAGTGACAACTTCTAGGAGGATACAGTCCTTTCCCTTCATGTCAAGTAGCGTGAAGAATTAGGTGGCTTCCACATCGTCATCGTCGTTTGTATAACAGTAGGTGCGGACTCAGGCGTCCGTTGTTACCCCTAGCGCCAACAAGAAGCGCGACTATCTCTGAGTCAAGGTGAGTGAGTGTGTTTAGTTTTACGCCGCAATTTTCCAGCTATATGGCGGCGGTCTGTAAATAATCGAGTCTGGACCAGACAATCCAGTGATCAACAGCATGAGCATCGATCTGCGCAATTGGGAACCGATGACATGTGTCAACCAAGCCAGCGAGCCTGACCACCCGATCTCGTTAGTGGCCTCTTACGACAAGCATGGGTTAATGCAGATTCATTCTAACCGGGGCCTTCAAGGGTCCTGAGTCAAGGTCGACGTCAGTTTTGCATTTGGGGTTATGGGGACGGGTCCACTGTCCGAAAAAATGTCGAGGCTTTTGTTCATGACTGATGACTCGTGTTTGGCGCCGCAGAAACACTGCACATGCACTGCACATGCACAATGCGGCCTTCTTGGGTTCATTGAGGGTCTGGGTGTACCTCTCACATAGCTTATAATTTGAACATGTGACGATCAGACAAAATCTGAATAGACAACGGAACGTAAAATCAGACTCACTCAGTCTCTCCAACTTCTGATATTGGACTTAACTCACCCTCCTACTGGTGTCCGCAGCCTCGTCATCTGCTTCATCCGACATGATGGTAGGACCAAACCCGGCAATTCGAACGTCCAGCAGGAAGGTCAGGAGGATGTTCCTCGCCGCAAGACGCCGATGTACGATCTGAGGGGGGAGATATTGGGTATTTTTTTGCCATTATTATTCTAGTAGTAGTAGAAGTAGTAACAGTAGCAGCAACAGTAGTAGCAGCAGTAGTAGTAGTAGTAGCATTAGTAGTAGTAGTAGTAGCAGTAGTAGTAGCAGTAGTAGCAGCAGCAGTAGTAGTAGTAGTACCAGTAGTAGTAGTAGTAGAAGCAGCAGTAGTAGTAGTAGTAGCAGTAGTTGTAGCAGTAGTAGTAGTAGTAGTACCAATAGTAGTAGTAGCAGTAGTAGTAGTAGTAGTAGCAGTAGTAGTAGTAGCAGTAGTAGTAGAAGTAGTAGTAGTAGTAGTAGTAGTTGTAGCAAATATAAACTATACGCGTCTCTTGGATGGTTCAGGAACAACTGTTCTGTCTTATTGATAAAGTACATCTTGCCTCGCCAAAATAAAGATGGAATAGGTTTAGTATCTTTTATACATAATTATATGTACTAAATGTCAACCTCTGGGGAGGAGATTAGTCTTATCCAAGGGACAGGTCGGAATAAGTTGTATATATCATGTTTTAGTCATGAACTGAGATATATGCCATACCCCAACTTGAGCCAGGTACGCCATTCCTTGGACAACTCCATGAGCCAACTGGAACATCCGCTCCAGAACGTCATCAGTCACTGCCCCCTTCTGTTGGACCAACCAGGGTCTCATTGGCCCCATCTCACAGTACTCCAGCACCATCACCGGACCCCCTGAAATGTATAGCCCCATCTCACAGTAATCCAACACCATCACCGGACCCCCTGAAATGTATAGCCCCATCTGACAGTACTCCAACACCATCACCGGACCCCCTGAAAATTATAACCCCCATCTCACAGTACTCCAACACCATCATCGGACCCCTGAAATGTATAGCCCCATCTCACAGTACTCCAACACCATCACCGGACCCCCTGAAATGTATAGCCTCAACTCACAGTACTCCAACACCATCATCGGACCCCTGAAATGTATAGCCTCATCTCAAAGTACTCCAACACCATCACCGGACCCCCTGAAATGTATAGCCTCAACTCACAGTACTCCAACACCATCATCGGAACCCTGAAATGTATAGCCCCGTTTCACAGAACTCGAGCACCATCACCGGACCCCCTGAAATGTATAACCCCCATCTCACAGTACTCCAACACCATCATCGGACCCCTGAAATGTATAGCCCCATCTCACAGTACTCCAACACCATTATCAGACCTCCTGAAATGTAAAGCCCCATCTCACAGTTCTCCAACACAATCACCGGACCTCCTGAAATGTATAGCCTCATCTCACAGTACTCCAACACCATCACCGGACCTCCTGAAATGTATAGCCTCATCTCACAGTTCTCCAACACCATCATCGGACCCCTGAAATGTATAGCCTCATCTCACAGTTCTCCAACACCATCATCGGACCCCTGAAATGTATAGCCTCATCTCACAGTACTCCAACACCATCATCGGACCCCCTGAAATGTATAGCCCCATCTCACAGAACTCGAGCACCATCACCGGACCCCTGAAATGTATAGCCCCATCTCACAGTACTCCAACACCATCATCGGACCCCTGAAATGTATAGCCCCATCTCACAGTACTCCAACACCATTATCAGACCTCCTGAAATGTAAAGCCCCATCTCACAGTTCTCCAACACAATCACCGGACCTCCTGAAATGTATAGCCTCATCTCACAGTACTCCAACACCATCACCGGACCTCCTGAAATGTATAGCCTCATCTCACAGTTCTCCAGCACCATCACCGGACCCCTGAAATGTATAGCCCCATCTCACAGTTCTCCAACACCATCATCGGACCTCCTGAATTGTATAGCCCCATCTCACAGTACTCCAGCACCATCACCAGACCTCCTAAAATGTATAGCCTCATCTCACAGTTCTCCAACACCATCATCGGACCCCTGAAATGTATAGCCTCATCTCACAGTTCTCCAACACCATCATCGGACCTCCTGAAATGTATAGCCTCATCTCACAGTTCTCCAACACCATCATCGGACCTCCTGAAATGTATAGCCTCATCTCACAGTACTCCAACACCATCATCGGACCCCTGAAATATATAGCCCCATCTCACAATACTCCAACACCATCATCGGACCCCTGAAATGTATAGCCTCATCTCACAATTCTCCAACACCATCGCCGGACCTCCTGAAATGTAAAGCCTCATCTCACAGTACAGTACTCCAGCACCATCACAAGACCCCCTGAAATGTATAGCCTCATCTCACAGTTCTCCAACACCATCACCGGACCTCCTGAAATGTATAGCTCCATCTCACAGTACTCCAACACCATCACCGGACCCCATGAAATGTATAGCCCGATTTCACAGTACTCCAACGCCATCACCAGACCCCCTGAAATGTATAGCCTCAGCTCACAGTTCTCCAACCCCATCACCGGACCCCCTGAAATGTATAGCCTCATCTCACAGTTCTCCAACACCATTACCGGACCTCCTGAAATGTATAGCCCATCTCACAGTACTCCAACGCCATCACCGGACCCCCTGAAATGTATAGCCTCAGCTCACAGTTCTCCAACCCCATCACCGGACCCCCTGAAATGTATAGCCTCATCTCACAGTTCTCCAGCACCATCATCGGACCCCTGAAATATATAGCCTCATCTCACAGTACTCCAGCACCATCACCAGACCTCCTGAAATCCATAGCCTCATCTCACAGTTCTCCAACACCATCACCGGACCCCCTGAAATGCATAGCCTCATCTCATAGTACTCCAGCACCATCACCAGACCCCCTGAAATGTATAGCCTCATCTCACAGTTCTCCAACACCATCACCGGACCCCCTGAAATGTATAGCCCCATCTCACAGTACTCCGACACCATCATCGGAACCCTGAAATGTATAGCCCCGTTTCACAGAACTCGAGCACCAGCACCGGATCTCATCAAATATATAGCCCCATCTCAATATACTCCAGCACCATCACCGGACCCCCTGAAATATATAGTCCCATCTCCAAATACGCCAGCACCATCAACTCACAACATTCTGTAACCATCACTGGACCCCTGCAATACAGACCTTAATGCATTCAGTATATTCTAGGACCATCAGCGTACCCACTGACGTATGTATCACCCATCTCACTGGGAGCACATTTACAAGAACTTTGAAATGTGGGCCTCCATCTCACTGTACATTTTATACCCATCCCTGATGGACAGATCCTCGTCATCGCCTTCGTCCGAACTAACAGTGCGGTGGGTGAGCCTAGTGGTTAAAGCGTTTGCCCTTCACGCCGAAGACCCAGGTTCGATTCCCCACATGGGAACAATGTGTGAAGACCATTTCTGGTGTCCCCTGCCGTGATATGCCTGGAATATTGCTAAAAGTGGTGTAAAACTAAACTTGCTCACTCACTTGAAACAGATGTTGCTAACCGGCATGTCCTCCAAATTATACAATACTTACAAACGTCATTGTCCACGACAGCGCCGATCATTCTGAGGATGTTGCGGTGTTCGCCAACCTCATTCAGGTAATAGAGGATCTTGCCTTTCATCAGCTGGATATCTTCATCATCATAGTTCTCTGTTGAAAGGAAAAAAACGGAGTTCAAGTTCGTCCTGTATTGTATGCTTTTGCAATTTCATTTTTTGAAAGTCTTTTTTATTTTATTCCAGATAATTTTTTTAAATAGTGGTTTGGTTTCTTTTGGTCGTCAGTTTGTACACAATTAGTCCATACACACAGACATGTCACTGACATGTAATCAATGATGTTCTGTTTTTTTTTAATCAATTTGAAGTATTAAATACGCAGTTGAAATGCACGTTACGTCATACAAACAGTTGTCATAGTAACCTTTCAGCATCTTGGCGACGACAGTCTCGGCGTTAGTGCCTGCCCGTGAGAGGGTTGCCTTGTAGATCTTAGCGAACTTCCCTTCGGTTATCATGGTGTCGAGCGTCAGTCTCTCTGACGACAGCTGCACTCCAATCGGGATGTCGTAGTCGTTGCCACCGTACACGTAAATGTCGTCATCAACAGCCTTGCCTCGCACCTGCGATTATACGTTAAGATATGGTCGCTAAAATGAAAATCACCTTCTTCAAACAATTATCAAAACCAGAATTTGGTTGGCTGGTTGGTTAGTTGTTTAAGGCCGCACTCACAATATACTAGCTATATGGCGGTGGTCTATAAATACTCGAGTCTGGACCAGACAATCCAATCATCAACAGCATCGACATCAATCGTCGCAATTGGGATGCAATGACAACCAATTATAAATCCAGTCACGTCACTCTATTGTCTCGCCAGGTTCTCCTTTTACCGAGTAAATCTCTACAGGTAGTTTCGCGGGCATTCTCCAAGAAATCGCGGTGATTTTCTTTAGAATTGCCCGGGGGATTTTCTGAGGAAAAATATCTAAAGTATATCTTCGGTCTATTCATAAGTTGGGTCAAAACCCCGCAGTCAGTTTAATCATGTCACCGTGCCTGACCAGCCGATCCCGTTAGTCGCACTGGTTACTGAAGATTCTAACCGGGATCTTCACGGGGTAAAAAGCAGAATTAAGTGTATGAATGATACCCATTCAGTTGGTTGGCTCTGTGTTATTGAACGTCAGGGGAGACAAGTCACGGATTGTGTGGAATTACACATATTGAAATTCGAATTAGTTTGAATCTGAATAACTAGAAATCTGGTCGCGTATGTGTCCAGTTCAATTTCAGGAATTACAGAGTGTTTGGCACAGGAATACATAGGATAATGTAATATCGGGGTAATAAAGTATGCTAACCTTCCTGGACATGCGTGCGAAGGCGGTAGCTGCTTTGGTGCGAGGTTTGGCTTCCTTCTTGCCCAGGATGACAGCCATGATGCCAAGATGCCACAGAAGGAACACGGCGACCGCGATCACCACCAGCAGGATAACACCTGAACAAAATGGTAACAGTTTGGTAACAGCGGATGGACATTATTTTCTGTTAAAAAGCCCCAAGTTATTCCTGAATACGCCTTGTACGGGCATTACATTTGCACCAGTCGCATGGATCGGAATGGCCAGAAAACTGACCTGGACTGACACTAGATCAGAACCGAGGGTCGAAGAATTTTGGCCATGCCGCACAACCATATGAATCCGAATCCCAATGGCAGTTTACACTTGTATTTCATCAAGACAAATCAATTATTTTCTGACTCATTGTAGTGTCCGATTACGCCGACGTAGTCCGTCACCATGAAGATTCATGTATTGCACTAACATATGACAATACTTACTGATCGCCACGCCCGCCTTCCCCCCAGCAGTGAGACCTGTGAACTCAGGGGCCGGTCCTGTTGACAGCATACAGATGGATACAGATTTAGACAATAACTAACGAGTGACGGGGATTAATAGATTATCTTTCTCGAGTTATATTAATTACATAATTAGTACAACGAGGGACAGATAATCTGCCATTACCCGACACGAGTTTTTATTACCCATATGAGTTTTCGATCTAAAAACGCTAAAATGAAAACAGCATTCTCTGTAAGGGAACCCGCAATGTGGGGAAATTCCCATATCCATATGCGTTGATTGGCTGTTTATTTTCTGAAACAGCCAATCAACGTTCAGCAGAAGGTGTAACCTATCTAGGGGCTAACAGGAACAATACTACCATCTGTCCTCCTTCCTGGGTTATAAAGCGTTGTACACAGTTTAGTGACAGGATATAATATAAATTGTTCACTGGTCACGAGGGGGGATGGGTTGGTGTACCCTCGATGTTTGTTTATGCTCCCTGAGCCCGAAGGGCGAGGGGAATGATAAACAAACATCGAGGGTACATCAACCCATGGGCCCCCAGGGACCAGTGAACAACTTATTATCTTACCGAACACCTTAATGTTAATTTTGAATTGTTTGAAGAACGGGTATAAATCTTTTTGCAGCCGTCGCTAGATTTTGCTGACAAGAAAACAGATTTAGAGTTATCTCCCTTCCATCGATTTGCATTCGAAAAACATCGGTAATTTCCGTACATCATACGTGATTCAATGTTATTCGAGATTACCACAACGAAGTACCAAATGAGTCGCCACTGACAGCGGGGTTCATTGAAATGTTACTCGCTTGTAAGCGGGGTACATTGAAAATAATAGATGAGCGCTCAGCCAATCAGAAAGCGACATTTATGTGTGAGGTAAGATAAACAGTGTTGTACATTGTACCAAACACAGAGACAGTATACAGATAGTGCTATGCATGGTGCCAAACACAAGGCAGAGACAGGATACAGTCAGTTCAAAGATAAGTATTGCAATACACGATATTCAATATGTCCAAAGTGGCTAAAGAGCATCTTTTTTAAAATAGGCAATATTTTGGGAGCGTGGTGTCATTCTGCTATTTACTGCCAGAAGTGGCGGTATAATATCAGTGTTTATCAGTACACGTCTGTGTGAACAAGATCGAATAGAACAATCACTTTCAACATGCTCGATGTTGCAGCTTTACAAAGGAAGTTTGAGAAATTCCTGTCGGTGTAGAGGGTCTTTAAGTTAAATCCTGTGTTCACGATCATGTGCACCATTTGATACAGGTTTGTGAACCTCTTTTGAAATATAACACATCATATATCCAATATAGGGAGTTTAAGAACATCTTTTGTAATGTAACATGTACAATATCCCATATTGGGGGTTTAATACCTTATGTCTAATATTACATGTAATATATCCTATATTGAGGTTTTTAAGCGCTTCTTTTTGAAATATCACGTGTAATATATACCTTATCGGGGGTTTAAGAACTTCTGTCTGATATTATATGTAATATATACTATATCGTGGGTTTAAGAACTTATGTCTAATATTGCATGTAATATATACCTTATCGGGGGTTAAGAACTTCTTTTGTAATATTACTTGTTATATATGCTATATCTACACACCTGTCCTGAACCGGAACTCCACGGGGTCACTCATCTCCCCGCTGTAGCCAGTAATAAGATGAGCTGTGTAGTTAGTCTCCGGTTGTAGGCCTGTCAAATCGTAGAAGGCGCTGAGACGATGGATCTTCTCCTTTGTGGCGGCCCCCGTGTAGTTGATCCAGAGTTCGCTGACGTCGTAGCAGCTGGGGGAGTTGACCCATGAGATGCGGACTGTGTTGAAGCCACTCCGGATAACTCGCACATCACGTGGAGGGGAGTCTGGTATTGTGAGGGTACATTCAGTGACATACAAATGCATGGGTGTGGTGGGCAGAAAGAGGCAAGAACATGTACAGGGTTGACGGAGAAGGTAAAGTACAGAAAGAACAAGAAGTAGGCAAGACCATTCATGCAGTGTGCAACATATTGGCTTGTTGGTATTGTTTAGGCCAAAAGGCAGGGATCGCAGGGAGGTCAGATAAAACAAGTAGGTCAATGAGGTTAGTTGGGACACTGTACCTGTTCAACACTCCGGTGAAAGAGGTAGATCGGGCATAGGTTGAACATGACGTGCAGCCACAATACATAGCTCTAGTAAGAACATTAGCGCAGGATGGACACATAGGTCGTAGCTTTCAGTCAGAATAGGTAGAGAAATTGAACTCATAGATCGTACTGTTCAGTCAGGATAGGTAGGGACGCTGAACTCGTAGATCGTAGCTTTCAATCAAGATAGGTAGGGGAAATCGATCTCATAGATCGTATTGTTCAGTCACGATAGGTAGGGGATGCTGAACTTATAGATGGTATTGTTCAGTCAGGATAGGCAGGGAAGCTGAACTTATAGATCGTAGTGTTCAGTCAGGATAGGTTGGGGAAATTGAGCTCATAGATCGTAGCGTTCAGTCAGAATAGGTAGGGAAATTGAACTCATAGATCATAGTTTTCAGTCAGGATAGGTAGGGGAAATTGAACACATTAGTCATAGTCTTAAGTCAGAAGGGGTTGTGGAGGTTTATCTCATAGATCGTAGCGTTCAGTCAGGATAAGTTGGGGAGGTTGAACTCATAGATCGTATTGTTCAATCATAACAGGTAGGGGAAGATGAACTCTTAGATCGTAGTGTTCAGTCATAACAGGTAGGGGAAGTTGAACTCATAGATCGTAGTGTTCAGTCATAACAGGTAGGGGAAGTTGAACTCATACATCGTAGTGTGCAGTCAAAACAGGTAGGGGAGGTTGAACTCATAGATCGTAGTGTTCAGTCATAACAGGTAGGAAAAGTTGAACATATCGACCAGGAGGATCAGATAGTTGAGGAAGAACCAGCAGCTGGTTCTGGGAGGCAAAGATTAAACAAGTAAGAGATTTACCAAATGTAATTTGACAGGCGAGTAGGGAAACGAATAGAATGTTTCTGACAAAATAGAGGACAAATATGTCAAGGAGATGGAATTGGTTTTACAGCTGATATTTATAGTAAGTACACTTTAGCATCTCCAGTTTATAACAAGGAACTTCATTTGTTTAGATGAAACAAGATACACTGAGGTTACGATACTCACATTCACCTATTCCACTGAAACTGTTGATATTCTCTATCTGTAAATATAGAACGATATATCTGAAGCATTGTGAGTGTTCCATTACCCACCTGTAGCTTTCTTAAAGAAAAAAGACGAAGAGCTTCTCAACGGCTATCAAAGGACTCTTTGCCAGTCTACCTGATGACACATTGCCAGTCTACCTGATGACACATTGCCAGTCTACCTGATGACACATTGCCAGTCTACCTGATGTCACTTTGACAGTCTACCTGATGACACTTTGACAGTCTACCTGATGACACTTTGCCAGTCTACCTGATGACACTTTGACAGTCTACCTGATGACACTTTGCCAGTCACCTGATGATACTTTGCCAGTCTACCTGATGACACTTTGACAATCGACCTGATGACACTTTGACAATCGACCTGATGACCGGAGGTCTTTTTGGCAGTCTGACTGAAGTCTCTTTGACAGTTTGCTGAGGTGTTTTTAACAGTCTACCGGAGGTCCCTGTAACATTCTACCGGAGGTCCGTCTGATAGTCAATTTGGTTGTCTACCTGAAAACACTTTGGCAGTCCAACCGAGGGAAATCTGACTTTCTACGTGCGTGTCAATATGACACTATACCTGAGGTTAAATTGACTCTCTACCTGAGTGAGTGAGTTTATTTCTACGCCGCACTCAGCAATATTCCAGCTATATGGCGGCAGTCTGTAAATAATCGAAATCCAGAAAATCCAGTGATCAACAGCATGAGCATCGATCGACGCAACTGGGATACGATGACGCGTTACCCGTCTCTTACGACAAGCATGGGTTGCTGAAGACCAATTCTAACCCGGATTTTCACGGGTCTGATTTGAGTTAGATTTGAGTTAGAATACACAGTGACCTGGAGAGAGTGCGTGGTGTTGAGCATGGCCGCGTTGGTCACCGTGACATCTAGGGTTATAACTTCTGTAGCCAGACTCTCCTTCTCCACCTGCAGCCAGCAGTGGTTGATGGGGAGGCTGAAAGAGCTTCGGTAACAGTCTTCGGATGGCGTGCAGCGGCACAACGAGATCTGCGTCGCACTCGGCCTCCTAGTGAATGGAAACAAAAGAGATTTTATGAAAAACCTTTGTTGAGCCCTTTATTGTTGGGGTAATATTCCAGCGATATGGCTACGGTCTGTAAATAATCGAGTCTGGACCAGACAATCCAGTGATCAACAACATGAGCATCGATCTGCGCAATTGGGAACCGATGACATGTGTCAACTAAGTCAGCGAGCAGAACCTCCCGATCCCGTTAGTCGCCTCTTACGACAAGCATGGGAAACTAAGGATCTGACCCGGACCTTCAAGGGTCTCACACATTGTACCCATTTGTGGAATCAAACCCGGGTCTTCGCCGTGACGAGCGAACACCACTGGGCTACTCCACCGCCCCTCTGGCTACAGACATCTCTTTTGCTTAATGTGGCAACTGAATCTAGAATTCATGTATAAAGCATCCCTCGATGTTTTGACAAGGTGCGTGAGGCGACTTAAATGTTGGCAATACAGGAATGAGTGAGTGAATGAGTGAGTTGGGTTTTACGCCGCTTTTAGCAATATTTTAGCAATATCGCGGCGCGGGACACTAAGAATGGGCTTCACACAATGTATCCATGTGGGGAATCGAACCCGGATTGCCGGCGTGATGAGTGAACCCTTTAACCACTGGAGCAAAAACACATGTTGAACACAGTGAGGATAGTTGTATTAAGTTTGCAAATTTGATTGATGTGTGTTTCAAGTCTGTTTTCACTAACGGCCTGGTGATATATTTTGTATTTTTTGTCCTGTAATCCAGTTAATACTTACATTCAGTTGGTAAAGTGTCCGACTCAACGTCCCTGCACGCGTCACATTCCCTGTGCTGCCACGGACAAGACGCCAAGAAACCTCCCGTATTCCGCTGTCATCGTCAACGGCCGTCACGGGAACACTGTAATTCACCAATATCATCAAACAGCCGTTCTTCTGACACATGCAGAGATGGATTACAGAGAACATGAATCTTGTACAACGTGGTATCAAACCCATTCTGAATACACGACAGATCGAATACCAGCTGACAGTATAACATACTTACATGGAGTGCGATGTACTTACAGGCGAGATGATATACTGAGAGAGAGGAATATATGCACACAGAGAAGAAGATATACATATACACAAATAACTTAATCGAGCACCAACTGTAGTTTTGCAATAATAGGTTTTCAATATGTACATAAGACTTCTCGTGGTGACCACGATGGACAAAACATGACATTTTTCTGATCCGTATGAACCTTTGACTCATAAATATCGACGAAAAGATAGGAATCCATGTTGATTTTATGATGATAAAGGCTCATTTTAGAAAAAACATGTCTGTACAAGTATGGTCCTTCGAATGTGTAATGTTGAATTTAGGTGAATGTGAATATTCAAAATGTCATTTTGCGTGTCTTACACGAGTCTAGGTCAATTGCGAATGTAACCTCCCTGTGACTGTACAACAGCCAGTACTCTCCTCCTTATACCCCCTGTCAGCCTCCTGATCCTCTGAAGTGGCATTGTACCCCATTCCTCGTTGAAAGCAGCTTTGAATAGGGCCCGGTTCTGTACAGGGAGATCCCTTTGTTGCACACGACGACCAATCATGTCCCAGAAATGCCCCAAAAGGTTAAGATCGGGGCTCATTCATTCGTGAGATATGTCAAGGGGTGCTTAACGAAGTTCCTTGTGTATATATATAAAGGATAATATACTTACAGAGTGGATGATATACTCACAGAGAGGAGGATATACTTACAGAGATGAGGATATACGTATAGAATGGATAATGTACTAACGGAGAGGTGGATATACGTACAGAGGAGAGTATGTACACACTGAGAGGATTAAAAATATGACAGAGGCAATGATATACACAGAGAGAGAGAGGAGGATGCATGTATAGAGACGGTAACATACTTATAGAGAGGAAGATATACTTACATAGAGGAGGATATACGTTTAGAGAATAATATACTTCTGGAGAGAAGGGTATACTTACAGGGAAGAAGATTTTGGTACTGAGATGATAAATAGATGGGAATGGTATACACAGAGATAGGGGGATATACTTACAGAGAGGAGGATATACACACAGAGAAGAGGATATACTTACAGAGAAGAGGATTTACGTACAGAGACGAGGTTACACGTACAGGGGTGAGGATATACGTACAGGGGAGAAAATATACTTACAGAGAGGAGGATATACGTACAGAGAAGGGCACATACGTACAGAGAAGAGGATATACGTACAGAGAGGAGGATATACACACAGAGAAGATGATATACGTACAGAGAGGAGGAAATACGTGCAGAGGACATACGTACAGGGGCGAGGACATACGTACAGAGATGAGCACATACGTACAGAGAAGAGGATATAAGTACAGAGAGGAGGATATACACACAGAGAAGAGGATATACTTGCAGAGAGGAGGATATACGTACAGAGACGAGGATACACGTACAGGGGTGAGGATATACGTACAGGGGAGAAAATATACTTACAAAGAGGAGGTTATATGTACAGAGAAGGGCACATACGTACAGAGAGGGGCCTATACGTACAGAGTAGCACATACGTACAGAGAGGAGGACACACGTACAGAGAGGAGGACATACGTACAGAGAGAAGCACATACGTACAGAGAGGAGCACATACGTTCAGAGAAGAACACATACGTACAGAGAGAGGCACATGCGTACAGAAAGGAGCACATACGTACAGAGAGGAGGATATACATACAGGGGTGATGATATACTTACAGAGAGGAGTAATGGTAAGTCCCATTCTGCACATTTTTTGTCAGTTCGTTCAGCTGAACATCCGGCGGGGAGTCATCAAAGCTTACTAAAGTGCTGTCCGTCCTCGTGTTATTCATAATGTCCGTCGCTCGCACCCAAACACGGATGCTATCACCGTTAATTCGTCCTTCATTTCGAATCGTAAATGTTTCAGCAAGTGCTATCTGCTGCCATGATTCTGGTTGAAGTATAGTGGAGCCCCCGGCATGATCTCGACGGTAGGCGACTTCAAACTTCACAATACCTCGGACATTGTGGATTGCAGCTCGAGTCCTCGCTCCATCGTCGTCATCGAACTGTACCCTCTTGACCGTAAAGGTAGAGGAGGCCACTTCACTTTCGATGTCTGTAAACTGAGCGGGATAGTCCACCACTGCATTCAGAAGGTTGGACTTGTGGTGAACCTGGTTAGAGAAGTGTCCTCCCCATTCCACTACTATACCAGCGTCCAGACTCGCCTGCCACGTGTGGTTGGTGGCTTCCGCCGCACTCGATACGAACAGTCGGTCGTCGGCACTGACGTTGATGTTGGACGCGTCGTCGTAGAGAAACAGCCGCCGGGCGTAGCGAGAGTTGTTGGCGAGGTCGGAGGCCTCCAGAATGACGGAGTACATACCTGGTCCCGGCGGGGTGTACATCACCGGGAGGGTACCGTTATTCACCAGCCACTCCCTGTTAACAAGGGGTTGGAGGGGATTTTTTTCCCCTAGTTTGCTGTCAGCGGTTATGGTGTCCAGTTGGAATACCTCCCATGCGTAGCGGTACATCCCGGACAGGTTGTCCGTCCAACCGTCCCATGTAATTGCGACTGGTGACTACAACAACATCATTAAAGCATTATTATGGACGAGGGTACCAGAAAAAGATTCCACATTAAAATAATTTGGGCAACACGGGTCTCCTCCTCGGCCATTAGGGGCGGTGGAGTAGCCTAGTGGTTAAAGCGTTCGCTCATCACGCCGAAGACCCGGGTTCCATTCCCCACATGGGTGCAGTGTGTGAAGTCCATTTCTGGTGTCCCGAGTCCTGATAATGCTGGAATATTGCTAAAAGCGGTGTAAAACCATACTCACTCACTCCATTAAGTCTCCTCCCGTTCCTATCAATAGCAAATGCTTGAGTGATACACTCGGGGTAAAACTTCGCCCAGATTGCAGACATCGGTTACTGCGAGTAATCGTGACGTGGCTGAGTGAGTGAGTTTAGTTTTACGCCACTTTTAGCAATATTTCAGCAATATCACGGCGGGGGACACCAGGAATGGGCTTCACACATTGTACCCATGTGGGGAATCGAACCCGGGCCTTCGGCGTGACGAGCGGACGCTTTAACCACTTGGCTACCCACCGCCCCGAGATGTGTCTGAGAAGACGTAGGTTGCAGTCATGCGAAATTAGCAACTCGTAAAAAGGTAAGAGTTTATCCGATGTGACAATTCATATGTATTGTGTTGAAAAGAGCATGGGCGGTGGGTGGCCTAATAGCTAAAGCGTTCGCTCTTCACGCCGAAGACCCGGGTTCGATTCCCTATATGGGTACGGGGCGGTGGTGGAGACTAGTGGCTAAAGCGTTCGCTCGTCACGCAGAAGACGCGGGTTCGATTCCCCCTATGGGTACAATGTGTGAAGCCCATTTCTGGTGTCCCCATCTGTAATATTGGTAAAATATTGCTAAAAGCGGCGTAAAACTAAACTCACTCACTCACTCATATGGGTACAATGTGTGAAGCCCATTTCTGGTATCCCCCGTCGTGATAATACTGGAATATTCTAAAACCAGTGCAAAACTAGACTCACTGACTGGACACAGCTGTTGTGAATGGCTCTGATTTGATGAAAACATGACACCCGGCATTAACAGAACTGGTGCCAGTTACTCGTCCATTGTTCAGCAACAATATGCCAGCCATATCACGTCGGCCGGTATATTATGGCAATGGCTGTTAGGGGCCAATTTCAACCGCAGCCCTAGCCTGATGTAATGACCTGATACGATGGTATCTGATATCCACCTAAACTCGAATGAGTGAGTGAGTATGGGACGAGCGGACCCGTTAACCATTAGGCTACCCCCAGCCCCTTATTGTAGTCGGAAGTGGTGAAAGTGTTAGGGCTTGGTTTAAGAGTGTGTACAGGGTGACTCACACGAGTTATGTCTCTGTCCAGGGAGAGAGGTGATGTACGACAGGATGGTTTACCGAAGCAATGGTTAGGTTTAGTCAGGTCGAATTTGAACCTCAGCTTCTTGGATGAAGTCAGCTGGGTGTAGTCCTCTCTCTTGTAGAAACTATTAGTGTCCGGGTTAATCAACTCCCTGCTGCCCCCGCTGGTGAAGGTCAAGGTCACTTCAATCCTAAGCCACGTAAAAGAAATGGTTTGAATAGTACAGGGTGTCGTCGTTAACAGGAAATCATGAATTAACAGTTGTTTATTGGAAGTAAACACTGCTAAAAGAGGTGTTTATATCGATAACCCCAACTTGTTCTACACCATCATCACAAACAATAACAATGTAATCATCAACACTAATTATCTATATTATCTCAACCACTATTTCCCTGTATCATCACCACCACTAATTTATTGCACCATCACCATAAATAATTCCCTATATTATCAGATCACTTTACAATCATTACATCTAATTATCCCTATCATCACCAATACTAATTCTCTATATCATCACCACCACTAATTCTCTACATCATCACCACCACTAATTCTCCGAATCGTCCGGGATCGGGTGGTCAGGCTCGCTGACTTGGTTGACACATGTCATCGGTTCCCAATTGCGCAGATCGATGCTCATGCTGTTTATTACTGGATTGTCTGGTCCAGACTCGATTATTTACAGACCGCCGCCATATAGCAGGAATATTGCTGAGTGCGGCGTAAAAATCAACTCACTCACTCTGAATCGTCATCACCACTAATCATCTGTATCACCACCACCACTGATTCTCTATATCATCACCACCACCACAAAGTCTCTATATCATCACCACCACTAATTCTCTAAATCGTCATCACCACTAATTCTCTATATCATCACCACCACCACAAAGTCTCTATATCATCGCCACCACTAATTCTCTATATCATCATCACCACTGATTCTCTAGTTCATCACCACCACCACAAAGTCTCTAGTTCATCACCACCACTTATTCTCTAAATCGTCATCACCACTGATTCTCTATATCATCACCACCACCACAAAGTCTCTATATCATCGCCACCACTAATTCTCTACGTCATCATCACCACTGATTCTCTTTATCATCACCACCACCACAAAGTCTCTAGTTCATCACCACCACTAATTCTCTAAATCGTCATCACCACAAAGTCTCTATATCATTCAAAGTCTCTATATCATCACCACCACCACAAAGTCTCTAGTCATCATCACCACCACAAAGTTCTCTAGTTCATCTAATTCTCTAAATCGTCATCACCACTGATTCTCTATATCATCACCACCACCACAGAGCCTCTAGTTCATCATCACCACTAATTCTCTAAATCGTCATCACCACTGATTCTCTATATCATCACCACCACCACAAAGTCTCTAGTTCATCATCACCACTAATTCTCTATATCATCATCACTACTAATTCTCTATATCATCACCACCACTGATTCTCTATATCATCACCACCACCACAAAGTCTCTAGTTCATCATCACCACTAATTCTCTATATCATCATCACCACTAATTCTCTATATCATCACCACCACTGATTCTCTATATCATCACCATCAGCTTATATCACCACCACCACTACTTCTGTATATCATTGTCCGAGTACTTACTCATCTGCATTGGTGATGGACTGGTCGAACCTCGGCTCTTCCACCGTGCAGTTCCAGTATTCGACCGTGGCCACGCCTCTTCCAGCCCTCTGTTCACAGATGTAGTTCTCCTCATTGGATGTGTACCGGTTACCATTGCCTGTGAACAGTAAGTGCCTACAAGTAAATCACCGAGAGTTGTTTCACAGTCAGTCAGCAGTACTGCAGTTATATCCCACTGCGGCATGTTGCTGGAGCCAGCTAGTGGCTGATAGCATGAACAATACTTCGTGGGGTTTGCCGAGAGACAGTCAGTCCGAGTCCAGAGGTATCTTACATTAAAAACACACCTCCTCATTATGTTATCGTTAAAAAAGCAACGTGTCTAATTTGACCCTTAACCTACTGTCATTTGAAATTTAATATTTCCGAAGTAGATTCGACACCATTAAACGTATTTCGACTATGACGCCACGAAACAATATACACGAACTCTTGAAGCGAGGAGTAATTACCCTAACATTTTCAAAAGTTTGTAAGGACGACTTCAGATATCAGTAGAGATGTAAAATAAATCAAAATATATACTTGAATATGTCAGTGATACACAAGGAAATACCCACGACCGAGCATGCTGTAAGTATTATTCAGAGGGGCGGTGAGGTAGCCTTGAGATTGAAGCGCTCGCTCTTCATGCCGACGACCCGGGTTCCATTCCCCACATGGGTACAATGTGTGACCCCCACCGTGATATTGCTGGAATATTGCTAAAAGCGGCGTAAAACTAAACTCACTCACTAAGTATTGACACAGGTAATTCTGTGGTGATTCTCATCACCACCACTGATTCTCTGTACCATCATCACCACCACCACTAATCCTTATATCATCACCCCACTAATCCCTATATCATCACCACCACTAATCCTTATATCATCACCACCACTAATCCCTATATCACACCACCACTAATCCCTATATCAACACCCTCACTAATCCCTATATCATCACCACCACTAATCCCTATATCATCACCACCACTAATCCCTATATCATCACCACCACTAATCCCTATATATCATCACCACCACTAATCCCTATATCATCACCACCACTAATCATCACCACTAATCCCTATCATCACCACCACTAATCCTATATTCTCTGTATCATCATCACCACCACCACTAACTAATCCCTATATCATCACCACCACTCCTTATATCATCACCACTAATCCCTATATCATCACCACCACTAATCCCTATATCAACACCACCACTAATCCTATTATCATCTATCCTTATATCATCACCACCACTAACATCCACCACTAATCCTTATATCATCACCACCACTAATCCCTATATCAACACCACCACTAATCACACCACCACTAATTCTCCTATATCATCATCACCACCACTAATCCCTCCTTAATCACCACCACTAATCCTTATATCATCACCACCACTAATCCCTATATCGAAAACCACTATCCTTATATCATCACCACCACTAATCCCTATATCATCACCACCACTAATTCTCTATATCATCACCACCAATTCACCCACCACCACTAATCCCTATATCATCACCACCACCACTTATATCATCACCACCACCACTAATCCCTATATCATCACCACCACTAATCCCTATATCAACACCACCACTAATCCCTGTATCATCACCACCACTAATTTCCACTAATCCTACATCATCACCACCACTAATTCCCTATCACCACCACTATCATCCACCACCACTAATCCCTGTATCATCACCACCACTATCATCACCACCACCACTAATCCCTATATCAACACCACCACTAATCCCTATCATCAACACCATCCACTAATATCAACACCACCACTAATCCCTATATATCACCACCATCCCTATATCATCACCACCACTAATTCCTACATCATCACCACCACTAATTCCATCACCACCACCACTGCATCACCACCACCACTAATTCCTACATCACCACCACCACACCACCACTTCATCACCACCGCCACTAATTCTCCATCATCACCACCACTAATTCCTATATCATCACCACCACCACTAATTCACCACCACTAATTCATCATCACCACCACCACTAATTCCTATATCGTCACCACCACTTATTCACCACCACTTCATTCCTAATTCACCACCACTAATTCCTATATCGTCACCACCACTTATTCCTATATCGTCACCACCACTTATTCCTATATCGTCACCACCACTTATTCCTATATCGTCACCACCACCACTTATTCCTATAATCATCACCACCACTAATTCCTGTATCATCACCACTAACTGTTTGCACCATTGACTGCTGGAGGCCTTCCTACCTGTATCCAGCTTTGTGTGTTTGACTCTTGTAGTGGCGGTGGTCACGCCAAATGTTGAGTTGCGCACATAGGAAGGATTGGGGTACTCTATAATTGCGTCAAACTGGGCAGCGCCGTCTATCTGTAAATAATTAAATCCCTTTTGGTTGGACCAAATGACGTCCTCTATGTCAATGTCCGGGTTGGAGGAGTCGGTGATGAATTCATACATCAACATTCCATTGAGAGCTGGGTCAGGGGACGTTTTCCGACTCTCCAGACGGGCACGGCACTGCCATATCCTGGGTGCCTGGTCCCTCACTGTGCAGATAAAAATTACGCTAGCTTTGGAAATATTTGAAAGCAAATATATACTATCTATTCGGACACTTCGATTTCGTGAACATTTTAAATGGTTGCTGGTTTGTTATTTAACGCCGCTCTCAGCAATATTCCAGCTATATTGCGGCGGTCTGTATATACTCAATACTGGACCAGACATTCCAGTGATCAACATTATGAGCATCGATCTAATCAATTGAGATACGATGACTTGCCAACCAAGTCAAGCCTGGCCACCCGATCATGTTAGTCGTCTCATATGACAAGCATGGGTTGCTGAAGATCAATTCTAACCCGGATCACCACGGGTACTGAATTTTGGGGAAAATCAGACACTGACATTGGTGTTTTGTGTTCAAGGTATAATCAACCGTTAATTTTACTTACACGCCAGACATGTCTGTTTCGTGAATCCCGACTGACAAGTACAACTTCCAGAGCAAATACCCGGGAAGCACGGAGATCGGTGAGAGCAGGGTTCAGCTGAAAACAGAAGGGACGCACTATAACTTGTATGTACATTTGGTTACAGGTAACATGTGTGTGAAAATTAATAAGAACCGGGTGTCGTTGTACATGTACAAAGCGAGTTTAGCGCTAATGTGATCGTTTCGTTTGGGGTGGTGAGGTAGCCTAGTGGTTAAAGCGTCAACCTGTCACCCTGAAGGCCCGGGTTCGATTCCCCAACATGGTTACAATGCGTGAAGCCCACACACCGTGATATTGCTGGGATATTGCCGGAATATTGCTTAAAGCTGCGGAAAACCATACTCACTCTGGTTTGGTTATTGTTTAACGTCGTACTGAGCAATATTCCAGCTATATGGCGGACCAGACAATCCAGTCTTCAGCATCGAGAGCATCGATCTTCACTATTGGAATACGATGATATGTGTCAACCAAGACAGCGAACCTGACCAACCGATCCCGTTAGTCGGCTCTTACGACAAGCATGGGTTGCTGAAGACCAATTTTAACCCGCTCGCTGACTTGGTTGACACATGCCATCGTGTCCCAATTGCGCAGATCGATGCTCATGATCTTGATTACTGGATTGTCTGTTCCAGACACGATTATTTCGCCATAGTAATGGATGTTCTGTGAAATGAAATTATAATAAATGGACGAAATATAGTACTTTTCTTCTGTTGTCTGTGCCCTCAACCGCATAATCCGGATTATCGCCTTGTAAAAACACTATAAAATTCTTTGTCTTTTTTAATCCCCTGTCAATTGGTATAAGGTCAAATGGACTTAACTGAATCGCGACATAAAGAAGGGATTTTTTATGGATGTCAACTTCTTTATTATGAGGAACACAACGTTTCGGAGTATATTCTTACTCCTTTATCAGGTGAATAAATGGTATGAGACAGATAACATATATATGTACATGTAAGAACAGCAAAGTAAAAGATAACAAAGATGTAGGCAAAACAACTAGTGTTGGCGTCCATTCAGCGCTATTTAACTGTCAAGTGCTGGGATCCAATTGTTCCATTGTTTTGCCTGCATCTTTGTTGTCTTATTACTTTGGTTGTTCTTGCATGTACATATATATGCCATCTGTCTCACACCATTTATTCACCTGATGAAGGAGTAAGGATATACTCCAAAACGTTGTGTTCCTCATAATAAAGAAGTTGACATCCATATAAGTTCCCTTCCTTATGTGTATCACTTCTAAATGCCATTCAAAGACCTGAACCGTGAAATTTCACCAAAGGGTCGACGTCCTGTGCAGACACCGAATGGACAATACTTACTTCCACGGCAAGTCGGACCGGCGTAACCAGCTCGGCAGGTGCACCTGCCAGGGGCAGTGCACGTTCCACCATTAGCACACGCGGGATTACAGACAGCTGAAGAACAAGAAACAGTAAAGACTCTCAAAGGACAGAACCCACTGCATAGACCATTGAAACAGATGCTAGGATATGACAATAATACGACGTGAGTGTCGTCTAGTAGAGGACTCTCATGTCCAACCAGTTAATTTTCTGAACAATCGTCCTCGGCAGTGATATTTCCGATATTGCCAGAAAGCGGCGTAAAACACAACTCACTCCATCCTTATGCTGTTCATCACTTGCTTGATAACGGTGTTAGAACCTACACCGAAACGTCTCTCTCATAGCAATAAAGAAGTTCATCCATGTATTGTTATCCTTCCTAACTGCCCCAACTTCTTAATGCCTCTCAAAGAAGTCACTCACTGACAATAATGCATTCAGCATCCTATCAGAACAATCTGTCAACCACTTTAGAGAGCAAGCATTCAAACAATGGCATATTAGAACAATCCTTCAACAACTAAATGAACTATTTGTCAACCAATTAGGGAACAAACTTTTAACCTATGGCTTATCAGAACAACCCGTCAACAACTTATGGAACATGCGCTCAGCAATAGCTTATCAGGACAATCAATCAACGAAATATACAACAACCATTCAACCAATGGATTGTCAGAACAATTTGTCAACCAATTAGGCAACAAGCTTTTAATCAATGGCATATCAGAACAATCTGTCATCCACTTAGAGAACAAGCATTCAAACAATGGCTCAAAAGAACAATCTGTCAACAACTTAGATCACAGTCTGTCAACCAATAAGGCAACAAGCTTTCAACCAATGGCATATCAGAATAATCTGTCAGCCAATTAAATAACAAGCATTTAATCAATGGTATATTATAACAATCTGTCATTGAAGAAGCATTCAAACAATGGCATATTGGAACAATCCATCAACAACTTAGAGAACAGTGTCAACCAATTAGACAACAAGCATTCAACCAATGAACTGTCAGAATAATTTGTCAACCACTTAGAGAACAAGCACTCAAACAATGGCATATTAGAACAATCCATCAACAACATAGAGAACATTCTGTCAACCACTTAGACAGGAAGCATTCAATCAATGGCATATCAGAATAATCTATCAAACACTTAGAGTACAAGCATTCAAACAATGGCATATTAAAACAATATGTCAACCACTTAGAGAACAATATGTCAACCAATTATGGCAACCATGGTATATCAGAACAATCTATCAACCAATTAAGCAACAAGCAGTCAAAAAATGGATTGGCGAAATCATTTGTCAAACAATTAGGCAACAAACCTTTAATCAGTGGCTCATCAGAACAATCTGTCAACCAGTTAGGCAACAAACTTTCAACCAATGGCAAATCAGAACAATAATTCTGCTAATGGTAAATGGTCTAATAATCCTGCCCAGTTGAACTGAAATGAGTTTAAGGACGGGTCATTAAAAGAAACAGTAGAAGGATCAGGAGCGGGTGGCGACTTGGCTAGAGTACAGGGGTGTGATGTTGGTTACTGCATCTTAATGAAAGAGCAGAAACATTAAAAGAAATTAATCGAAGAATACCCAGGCTCAGCGAATATTTTTTTTAAATCCTACTAATACTGCAACTAATGTTTTCCTGTATTTCGAGAAACAAATTCCATTTATTTTGAAACCATGCTCTCTCCACTCCCACCTCCTACCCGTTAGGGAACCTACGTTGATCACAGCGACTGCCCATGAAGCCTGAACAACAGAACCGCTCTGTCTTTACAACCGCCTTCCATACAGTCCTGTAGTAACAGCACCTGCAAACACGGAGTCTATATAAGTGGTCTGTCAGTCACATGGATTATTGTTAGGAACGTAGAATATAGGTGGAACATTAATCGGCGTGTGGCCCATAGAGCCCAGGTCACAGATCAGTTGAAGATAAGCAACGTTGGTCGCGGACAGTCCTTGGATGGGTGACCGTGTTTAGCAGCTCTACTCCTAAATGATTTTAGGACTTCAGTCCTGCCCCATAACGAAGCACACATGACACATGTGGTCTCAACTCAGGCAAGTGAGTTTGTTCAATAATTGCCTCTGTTCATCCATCAGTGAGTGAGTACCCGGTAAGATAACCTTCTAGTGGCTATACATTATCCGAAACATGACCAGAAACTTACCCTCGCCATGTTCTGTAGGCACACTCACGTACTCTCACAGTCTTGCAGACAGTCCGCTGACACCACCCCCTGTAACAGGCAACAATGTCGTTATCAAAATGACTATACCTATGCACGGTGCAGTATGATCATATCAACAAAGGGTCACTTAGGCTGTTGTAACAATAATAGGATGACAGAAAGGCCTCTTCCGGAAAGACACAAATTCAAAGATGACGAGAGGAGAGTCAAAAGGAAATATTAAATCAGCCCATGACCATTGACTAAATGTTCCGACAGATGTATATATATACGTACACACACACACGCGCACACACACACGGCTCACTATTTAGTGGATGAACTAAAGTAACACGTAGAAAAAGGTTGGCGATCAGTAATCAACAGTGATCAGTTTCCTGAAGGGTTTATAACGGAAACCATGTACGGACTACAACCGAACTTGGGAAGGGTTTATGCTTGAAGCCATTGACCGACTCATTGAACCGATAGCGTGTGTATACATAATACCGCCATGACAGACAGAACAACCTATACACTGAGTGAAGTGATATAACGTATGTGTACATGAAAGAAAAGCCAAGTTCTATGGGTAGTCCTATAGAACTTTGTTTTCCTTTATCTTTACAAGTTCTAAAATGCCTCTCAAAGAATGTGTGTGTACGTAACTACCGTTATTACAGACAGTGCGATCTTTACACTGAGTGAAGTGATATAACGCATGTGTACATAAAAACCGCCATTACAGACAGTGCGATCTTTACACTGAGTGAAGTGATATAACGCATGTGTACATAACAACCGCCATTACAGACAGTACGATCTTTACAGTGAGTGAAGTGTTATAGCGTATGTGTACATAACTACCGCCACTGACACTAAATGCCTTTACTCAAATGTTGAGGTGCTTGAGAAGAATGGTATACAAGTTAACCGAACTTCAATGGACAAATCTGTGAACAACTGCGGTAACAAACTGATTAACTTATGTAAGAATACCGGACTGTACATTGACAACGGAAGATTGGACTTTGACGGAAATACTGGCAAACTGACTTGTAAAGATGCAAGTGTTTTCGAATACTGTTTAGCGTCGTCGTCGGAGACTTTTCGCTTGTTCAAAAAATGTATACAGGTGACTTTGACCCTATTCTATCTGATGTACATTGCAGCATCTCGTTTTCACTGGTCTCGGATAAGTTACCAGTCTCTCAACAAACGAGTGGTGATGTAACTTAGGAATCATGCTCAGAAAACATCGCAGCTAACAAGTATAATCCTACTTTGCCAGAGGCATTTGCACACAGTATTGACGTTATACAGATTGATGTTATCTATAAAGACATTGAAAATGTAACCGCAGAAAATATTGATTATTGTGTAAACATTATTTGTGATAAAAATACAGGTGCTATACAAAATGCTTCTACTTTCGGTGTAAAAAAAGAAATTCAACAAGAGCTCGAAGTAAACGCAAGTGCAATAAACCTGGGTTTAATGCAAATTGCAAAATTATGCGCAGACAATATCATAAATGTAAACATGCTTATAGACGTAATAGCTCACAGCAAAGTAAATCAGCTTTTTTAAACGCTAGCAAAAGTTACAGTAAAAACATTCAAAAGCCTTTTCAAATTTCCAAAAAGAGTGTGCAGAAAAATTACGTTCTTCAAAAAACACTGATTCTAAATCTTTCTGAAATTTTTGAAATCTTTTGATTCAAAACAAGAAGCGCAGTCAGTATTTGACATTAATTCATTGTATACTTTCTTTAAGGATTTAAACGCTGCTGAGGGTGCTGGTTACGATGGTGTTGAAAATGTTGCTGGTGTTCATAACGTTGAAAATGTTAATGATGTAGATAACGATGTAAATATTCATGACGTATATTATTTTGATATTGATTTCGGCGTGATTGCAATGTAGATAGTTATTTATTACCCACGTGCTCAACGTATGGGTAGTTGCATACTAATCTCGTACGTCACACGTAAATCTAAATCTTGAAGTTGTTGATTCTTATTGTTATAAGGATGTTTATACGCCGGAATTTTACGTAACTCATCCCATGCCCCGCCCATACAGAAGTGAATATGCTAAGTTCAGATGCGGCACTGCACCAATTAATATTGAGCTGGGTAGATATAACAATATTCCACTTAACGACAGAAAATGTTTTTATTGTAAACACTGTGTTGAAGACGAAGTTCATGTTTTAATTAATTGTCCGGTTTATAGTGATGAACGTTTTAGTCTTTTAAATACTTGTGAATAGCCTATGTCAGAATTTTAGTAATCTTACTGATATACAAAAAAACTGCTTTTATCCTGTCCAATAGCAATATCTGTTTTATAGCTGCCAAAACCTGCCATGTTATTTTAAAAAGGAGAAAATCCGTATTATATAACTTTTAATTATTGTTATTCATAATACATGTACATGCAATTTTTAAAGAATTTTAGTCTTTCATAATTCCGTATGGAATGGCCCTATGTAAATATATGTTTAATTAGTTTGTATATATGTATAACAGGGGTGAGACTTTAATAAATAATCTGTCTAATCTGTCTGTCGTGTGTCGTATCGCGTTGACCTGTGTCGTAACGACTTGACCTGAGATTCTAACGATTTGATTGGATAACCGATGACCTCTCAATTAGGTCACATTCTGACGTAACTATTCTTTCATTCATAACAAACACGTGAATTCATTCATTCTACAACTTTAATGCATTGTGGGAATATAAACATCGAGAACGTTGCCGTGTCGCTGTTTAATTGTGAGTCGAACTGAGACATTATATCCGTCGAAAAACATAAACGCAATGTTTCCACCATTGATATTAGCCGAAGGAAGCAACTGCAAACCAAGAAACGGGATGCTACGGAGTAGTTTACTGTAGGAGGCTGTTCCAGGCGATGACAACTGTCATGCATCGTGACGTCGGTTACCAAGGCAGTGACGTCATTTTGGTGTGACGTCATGCAAATATTGTACTCCAGTACAAAACTCTTCCGCAACCCCTTTATGAAACCGGCTATTTTGTCAATTTAATGCATGTAAGACGTGGGTAATAAATAAAATACCACACTCGGTCTCATTACATACGAATTATACGAAACTCGTGGCCTTCCTATGTTATCTAACCTCGCTTTCGCTCGGTCAGATACCATAGGAAGGACACTCGTTTCGTATAATTCGTATGTAATGAGACCTCGTGTAGTATTCTCTATATATTAGATGCTCCTTTCACTGATAAAGAAATGTTTACATCTGCACAGCCATTAAAAATAATAAGGTTTGCGGTTTAGATAATGTGTATAATGAGTAGATTAAGGGTACTATCAGTACACTGCTTCCTGTTTATGTAAAGTTATTTAATGTCACTTTAGAGTATGGTGTAATGTCTGAATCGTGGCTGTCGGGTATGATAAGGCCAATAAGAACAAAGGGAACAAAGCTGACCCAGTAATTACCGGGAAATCTCATATTCAGCTGCTTGGGTAAGCTGTTCACTTCCGAATTGAGTAAGAGGTTACAATCGTACTCTGGTATTTCCTAGTGACGTCACAGCTATCACTTAATACGCTTTCCAATTATTGCACAGACTGGAGCCTTAACGTTAATGTAGAAAAAAGTAAAATTATGGTTTTTCGTAAAGGAAGGAAGATTCGACCAGGGGAAAAATGGTTTTACAAGGAATCTCAGCTTGAAGTTGTTGACCAGTTTAATTATCTAGGTATTGTGCTTTCTTACACACGTTCCTTTACACACGCTTATAGAACCCAGCAGGCAGAGGCCTTAAAGCTACGAATGCTTTACTTAAAATTGTCAGTTGTTACAACTTTTCATTGAAAATCTTTTGTGAACTATTCGACACTTTTGTTACCTCTATTTTGATGAGGGGCGGTGTACAACCCCAATATGTAAAATCAAGACAAAATGTAAAAACCTAACACAAAATCTAAACAATAACGCTATATGTAAAATATGCGGTGGGGTAGCCTAGTGGTTAAAGCGTTCGCTTGTCACGCTGATGACCCGGGTTCGATTCCCCACATGGGTACAATGTGTGAAGCCCATTTCTGGTGTCCCCCGTCGTGATGTTGCTGGAATATTGCTAAAGGCGGCATAAAACTAAACTCCCTCACTCTACTATGAAGTATGGCTGTGAAATGTGGGGTATTGTGAAATGTTCTGAATTTAAAAGAATTCACTTAAAATTTTGAAGGCGTATTTTGCAGATCAATGCCAAATCATCTGCAGTTGCTGTATGCGGCGAACTTTGGAGGTCCCCTTTATATATAAATAGGTATATGCGTGTGTTACGTTATTGGTTTAAGTTATAACACAGTGGAAACTGTATACAGCGGGTCGTTTATGGTTTATGTTCAAATGGTCTAAATAATGAATGTCTTTGTATGAACTTGGTTTGGGGCATGTTTGGGAATTTCCAGTTGTACATGTTGATAATTTTTGTAAAGTTGTTAAGCAATGTCTCATTGATATCTATATTCAGAAATGGAGAGCTGACTTAGGTAAATTATTTCTTTACAAAATGCGAACATATACTCATCGCCTTTTGATAGAAATGGTAGATACAGTAATATTCCAAGGGAAGATCGTATTTGTGACTATTGCAATAGCCTGGGTAAAATGTTTGTTGAAGATGAGTATCATTTTATCTTGATTTGTCCTAAATATTTACAGTTTAGAAAGTTATATATTAAAAGCTTTTATTGGGTTAGACCAAGTGTTAATAAGTTTATGTTACTGTTTAGATATTCCCATAAATCTGCCTTGCGAAACTAAGCCAAAAACATTAAATTCTCTAATGATGTAAGAACTCAAACACAATACATTGTCCAGCCTCCATAAATTAACTGTAAATATATGATTTGTCCTTTACAGGCCTGTAAAACATGTGTTTTTGGGGACGAGGAACACATTTATTGAAATCCCCAAAAATAAATTCTTATCTTCTTCTTCTTTCTTCTAATAAGGTCAACTTGATAAGTGAAGCGCAAACGTGGTTTAGAAAGGGTTATTCAAGTATAGACAATGTGT